CATAAATCTGCGAAAATCTGCGCGGTCCCGGTCCATCGATTGCCGGGGAAAGGATTCATGTTTAGCAAATTACTCAACAGCTGGCCAACTGGAGGAGCTGGACCTGCTGCTGGGGAAGCAGGCGGAGGACGGCCGGCTAGCCATTAAATAAATTATAACGAACCCAGCCCCTGAGACGTTGAGCGGAATGGACTCCGCCGCCAACAAATTGCTCCCTGCCCGCCACCGATGAGCTCGCGCCCTCTCCATGTGGGAGACGACACGCAGTCTGCAGTTTCCGCGGATGAGGATCACGGCGGCAGGCCAGATGATGCAAAGGAGGAGGTGCATGTGTCAGCAGCTTGCTCAAAGCAAATGCCGCTGGGAGTTAGCTTTTTGGCTGCGTTCTTAATTTATGTTATTGATGCGAATGATATATGAAAGGCACTGAGGGAAATGGGGAGACTCGGTTGAGCATGCCGATTTCAAAGACTCTCATAGCAAATTATCAAGTTCGCATTTTGAAATTTAAATATTTTACCAAAAGCAACGTTTTAGCGGCCGTAAAAGCCCAAGGCAAAAGGTGTGTGGGAAAAATGCGCAGATGCAAATGCACATGCGAAATTTCGGTGAAGGTTGCACTTCAAAATTCTGCATGAGCAGTTAACGGACAAGCCAAAACGAGGAACACAGACGAAATGAGTTACGGATTTGCCATCGCTTAAGTTGAGTGCCAATCTGAGCCGGCTCCAAACTCCAGTCATATAAACAAATGAACATATGTAAAATTCATGCTCGACAGCGACAACTCGGACTGAGACTGAGCTGGGGACGAGCACTGGGACTGATGTTGATGTGTTTTACGACTTGACACAGAGCCTCAGAGGATGGGATGGACTGGGATGAGTATGAGGTCTCTACAGTGACTGGACAAAGTGGCCGACAAAAGTCGGTCGGAGATCCGTGCGCTTCAGCTCGGAGTTCGGAGTTCGGAACTGACTGAAATGGCTTTGAAGCGCACATTTGCCAAAGTGATCGTAAAAATGCCAAGCCAAATACCTTGAGCACGTCAAGCGCGGCAATTAAAATTGAACTTTTATGTTACAATGACATATAGCCCAGTCGCAGTCGGAGTCGCAGTCGCAGAGCGCCTTAGAGCTCTCAAATGAGATGGTGATGGGTGGCGAGGAGTGGAGGCCATCCGTGTGAACGAGTGAGATCAAAAGCTTGCGCCGCCTATACGCACTTGCAACTGGGAAAAGGACGCAGATAGTTTGCGAGCAAGTCCGAGCCAAGTGTCTCTGGTGGTGGACAATGCAAATGCCCCGTCCTCGACCCGTGCCCCGTGCAGTTTTGTTTCACAATTTAATTGCAAATAAATTGAGTTTTTGGTACTTCATTTAAGCGAAACACGCTAAACTTTCCTGGACCGGCGGCGGTTTCATTAAAGTCGTCGTCGTTGGCTGTTTTGGAATGTCTGTCGGTTTTACGAGACTCTGAAAGTTTCGAAACTAATTCTTTGCATGAAATTAAAATTGTTTCCTATCCAACTGAGCTCTAAAAATATCTCTTTTCAGCAGGACTCTTCCCTGTAAGTTCTCCCTTTCCTTCCTGGAACACATCCTCCTGACTCATAATGAGGTTCCGCTAACTGATCCATCAAAAAACTGTCAACGGATGCTCGGGAACTCTGGGACTGGGCACACACAGTAGTCTCTGGTCCCCTAAAACTAGGAGTTGTTGACCAAACGGAAGGCAAAACAAACAACCTGGCGAGCCGGCAAATATTGAACAATCAGATATGACAGATAGCTCGTCCATCTGGAGTAGGACAAGTAAAATTAGGCACACACACGCGCACAACACCTAACTCACACTCACTAGCACTTCCAGCAAGGACAGTTGTCAAACAGTTTTCACTCCTTCATGCTAAATTTGCAAGGCAAACAAACGCTGTCGTTGGTCCCGCCGGACCTGCCACATCCAGACAGTAGACCCGGTGGTAGTGGCAAGGACGATGGAGGTGTCACAACGGCGGGGTGCCAGGCAGGAGCTGCTTGCACAGCGAGTGTCGATGCTAGATTGGAATTCGAAATACAGTTCGCATTTGAATTCGGTAGTAATCAGCTTTAGTTCTTACCAAATGCCCGAGGTCCATTCTAAGAAGCCTTCAGCCTTCAGCTTCAAGAGGGAGATAATAATAATTTTGAAGACTACTTCGCACTTTCATTCAAAAGAGGTTTACGATCTCGTGAGTTTGAATGAATTTGACTGTATCCAAGCCGGCCCTTTACGGCCCCTCGTAATGATCTATAAAGCAAGTTTTATGTCTGCTCTTGGCGACAAAATTTACAGCCTTCAGTAAATCACAATTGTAGTGTGTAGTGCTGCCAACATGTGCTCTGATTCAGGATAAGACGGCGGAACCATAAAACCGTATCAGTAGTGTGGCTCAGGAACCTCGAAGTCTGTTCAAGGATTCTATGCTCCTTTACGGCAGTAGCTATTGAGTCCAAATTCCGTTTATGAGATGCTAATTGGGGCTTTGTTGGCGAATTATTAACTAGGAAATGTCCCATAGAGTGTGAACTGTAACACGATTTTCAAAATCATATATATTCCTGATCAGCATCAAAAGGCGATTCTTTCTAGGCGTAAAGGAAAGAAAATAAATTTTTGTCAATTTTTTCAAAATTTTAAATTGTCAAAAATTTACAAAAAATTTAATCTTTTTCTTAGCATGGGACTGCTTACCGAATTAAAATTAGTGCTTTTTGGCGGAGTTATGAGTTTTTTAAACTTTGATTAGTTGAACAAACTTTTAAATAAAAATAAGATTGAATGTCAGTTCAAATAATGCGTATATTAATACCATTGCAAAAAGAATTTAAAATTTGCTTTATTAAATACATTCAACTTTTCAGAGATGTAGGGTTTTAAGCAATTTCAATTCGAACATCTTTAGCTCTGTTTTTTATACTTATTTGTCTTTTTTGAGCCTTGGCATGTTTAATTTGACTTTGAAGTCCTGTCCTGCCCAAACACTTTTAAATTTTCTAACCTCAGACTCCCAAACAGGAAGTCAACCACATTTATGGACGAATTTTCGTTTCACGAGGCACTAAAAGGACGCCTTGGCTCCTTATCAAACGTCGGAGATTCTGGCGCTGCCACGCATGAGGAGCTCCGATAATTGAAAACTGTCAATACGCAAATTAGGGAATTTGTCATGTTATCATGACCAAGTGCCTATGGTCTCAGCATGAGCACGGAAATGGGCGGAGACGCAATCAATTAATTCCCTGGCCAGGCAAGCATGTTCTCCTTGGCTCATTTGCATTGCCGTGCAGATGAGGCATTCCATTGCACTCAAGTGCCTTTCAGTGCGAAGTCCTTGCATAACGCTTCATTAGCATCCAGTTTAATGCTGATTACCGCTCAAGGACTCCCGGCCCAGCTTATTAGTACGTTCATAGGACATAGGCCCGAGTACCTAGTGGTAGTGTTGCCTCAGCTTGCCAGCTCATTCCGCTCGATTCAGCTCTGGAGTTTTGAATATTTTCATAGCTTAAAGATTTGCATGCGGCCTGCTGCCAGGATCCGACTCTTTTCCATACACACTCGCTCAAAGGGCGAGGAACAGCCATTTTGGCTCTGAAGCCATCTACCGCTCCCTCCCCTGTCCCTTTCCTGATCCTGTGTGGAAGCCAGATGCAGGCTGCATGTGCGTATCCTTAATATGCGTAAACTTCACGCTTAATTCTTTATATCATGATGATGTCCTTTCGCTGTTTTCGCTTTTGTTCGTTGGTTTTTCAATTTTTCAAAAACTGCAGACCGTCCGAACAGTACCAGGTGTGACTTTCGTTTGCCATTAATGGCTGTTGATAGATTTTTATGTTTGTATATCGACAAATGACTTTTCCAGTTCGGGGTAGAAGTTTCTGGGGGAGTCTTGGCTCTGGCACTCCCATGTAGACTTTTTGATGCTGTCTACCAGCTTGTTAATTATTTTCCGGACACGTATTCCCCCAGTGCTGCATAGTAGGCAGTCAGCTAATGAGCTTGAAGCTAATCCCCATACGGCTGCATTATTACACTAAATTTCATAAATCAATTGCAGTTTCTTGGGCTAACCTCAGGCATGGTTCCATCGAAGCAAACAAGCAAGAGCTGGCTAAGCCAAGAAGCTAAAGAAAGCCCGTACACAACTCATAAACCTCGCTGACAAAGACTTGGTCTAAATAGCCGGGAAGAAGGGATGCTGCAGGCAGGTCGGGAGCGGAAGAATGGGATAAACATACATTTGGGACACACGACACACGCAACTGTGGGTGCTAAAAATGCGAAAACCGGAACGATTGATAATGCGTCCTGGTCTGGGTAATGGGTAATGGGTAATGGTGTTGGGCCTGGTCTGGGCTCTCGCCCTGTGTCCTGTGCCCTGTGCCGACAGCAGCCTTCACGCTTTAATTGGCTGCCGGCGACAAAATAAAAGTCATACAATTCAGGACGAGACAGCTGCACGCTCCACACACACAGCCAAAGTGATCGGGCAAATTTCGACGGGGGGTTGACGTGCGGACGGATTATGGATGCGGATTCAGACTCGGATGCGGATGCGCTTCGCTATCAAGCATTCAGTGAAGAACCGCCCCGAACTGGCTTGGCCAATCAGAGCTCTCCTCGGGCGTGGCATTAGCTTGATTAAAACGCGGAGAAAGACCGATTCTCTCCGGGATTCTCTCGAGCGGCTCTTGCCTCTCTGTCGCGCAGCGAAGTTTGATCGGTGCCATATTGTATGTGGGTATCCGAGTATCTATACCTGAAGTGGCGTGGCGCTATCAACCACCGAGAGGTGGGCGCGAAAGCTGCTCTCGCTCTCCTCATCCGAAGCCAGCATCTACGACTCCAGCTCGACAGTGGTGGTGGTGGGTTGCCGCGGAAACCAGTTTATGGAGCGATCTCATTGTGGAGTAGTCGTCGACACAGCCCGGACCCGGCCGGCCTTCGTTAATTTATGCTCGCGCTTCTCTTTAGTTGCATTGCAAGTCTCGTGCTGTTTGATCGCCGAAGCGCGCGTAATTCCAAGAAAAATCCCGCTGCGTCCGAGTTCGATTGTCGCCGCTGCCTGTCGGGTTGGGATCGGAGTTGCGAACTTCCGTCGGAAGCGTGATGGAGTGGAGCCTTTTGGCCAGCTTCCAAGTGATTAACTGTAGAGAATACTTACCATCTTTTGTGCAACTATATCGACTCTGAGGCACTAGTTCAAAGCCAAAACCAAAGCCAGTTCATCCTATAGTGAGGCATCAGTTTAGTTCTTAAGTTATCGGGAAGCAGATTGGATCCGGACAATGGATATGTCCAGCGCCAACTCGTTGCGACCCCTATTCGCAGGTTATCCCTTTCAAGGTATGTTTTCTCCTGTTCAAATCCTTCTTAAAATTGTACGACAATGGTTTGGTAATTAAATTAGATCTTGGTCTAAGTAACAAGTACCACAATTTTTTCATGATGAATTTTTGTTACAGGACAAGGTCGCGTCAACCAGCTCGGGGCGTCTTTATCAATGGTCGCCCGCTGCCCAATCACATTCGCCTGAAGATCGTGGAAATGGCGGCCAGTGGAGTTCGTCCCTGTGTGATTTCCCGTCAGTTACGAGTCTCCCACGGTTGTGTGTCAAAGATCTTGAACCGTTACCAGGAGACGGGCTCCATCAGGCCGGGCGTAATAGGTGGATCTAAGCCGAAGGTCACCTCACCGGAGATCGAGACGCGTATTGATGAGCTGCGGAAGGAAAATGCCGGGATATTCAGTTGGGAGATACGCGAGAAGCTGATCAAGGTGGGTAGCCAGTTGCAATCGCAGCCGCACCGGCAAAACTGCAGGAAGCAATAAATGTGCCAAAACAAAGGATACAAGGGCTTTGTCAGAGACCGCATGCCATTATTTGCAGACACAGAAAATGCAATGCAAACCAGAGATTCCGTTCGCCAGCATCCTACTTCCGTTTTCCGAAAAGTCACGTGGCAGACTCTGGCCACCCGCTGGCTTTGTTATGGCACGTTGTCTACTTCTTCGCTTCCGACACTAACACCTCCGGTCCTTTTTGCATACATTTACCGGCTGGCCAGATGGCCCAAAAATGGTCCAAGGACCAAGGACCGAGGACCGATTTTGAACTTAGCCGCTCTCTCATTGACAAATTTGTTGTACAACGGCGACGACAAATTTTGCTTGCCACCCAAACCGTTAAGAAATCGATTAAACCATAAAGAGTCGTCGTTGTTGTCGTCTTGCCTGTGTCGGCATCGGCATCGATTGTGTTTTATCCTTGAGGCGGCGACAAGGTGCAAAAAGAGAATATATGTTTATGTTCCCTAGGGACATCGCTCCAAACCGCCTGTTTGACATGCAACTTAGAGGCAAAAGCAAATATGACAATGTTTGGTGCCAGTGGGATAAAAAAAACATTGCCCACACTTCCCACCAGATGCACTTAATACAAGTCACGTTTTAATGGACGATTTGTGAAACCAATAAAGCCAGTTTTGTGACATCCAGTTACTTTTCGGAGACAAGGGAAAACCCCGGTCAAAAAGCTTTTCACATTCGACAACACCGACCTATGTATTATTAGCATTGAATTGAAAGAAAGATGAGAACACACAGATACCTCGATCAGTGGGAAAAACAAAGTCGAAAGTTGAGATGGGGCTCGAGCTCAGTTCTGAACCTACGCCAACTTTGAGCGGCCAGCTGTCGGGATCAGCTCCTCCTAGCCACATATATGGATGGATAAGGCTTGTTTAGCCTTTCGGCGAGATTCGAGAAGGCGGGTGATCTCCGCGAATACGAGGACAAGAGATCGTGTATTCATGCGCCAGCCCCTTTTGGCGGCTATCGTCTCGCTCTTTTTTTGAAGCCTCAATTAGCCACACTTTATGGGGCGATACGATTCAGAAGACCATCGATACGATCGACCAGTATATATACTATATATATATAGTTATCATAGCCGGAAGAGTGCTCATCGCTCTGTCCGGGCAGAACACTGCCCCAGGTGCGCTTCACGCTTAATTAGAATATGCTGTGAGCCCCTTACGGCCTTCTTCGTCCCATTCCATTCTGGCCGTCTTGGCCATGGCTCCTCCCAATCGATGCAGATACATCTTGTTCGACGATCGTGATTGATTTCAGGCGCTGCTATTGCACTCTAGCTTATCCTGGGGTCTCAGTCTTAATCCCTAAAATATTTATGACCCGCTGACAAACTGTTTCCAGGAAACCTAATTATTAAAAAACACAAGAGGCACCTGTAAATTATACAAAACAAAAACGCTAGCAGAGACCGCAAAAGGGGTCGTCATTTTGTTAACAAAATCCACAGCGATTTGGTCAAGTTTAAGCGCAGTCAAGTGTCAATCCGACTGTCAACTAATTAATTAAATTTCAATTGAAATTGTTAAGCCAGAAGTCGCAGGCAGAAACCTTACCTCACAGTCGGGGGCTCGCCTCAGAACAGTTTTGGGTCGGGATTGGAATTGGTATCCAGTTGTCAGTTTCCCCAAGATTAGCCGTCACACATTCCAGCAGCCGTGCAGCAACCGGTCTCCGGCTCAGCCCCCATTCCAGCTTTGCGGTCATAAATAACCCAACAAAGTCCAGTTGAAAATCAAAACACATTTCTGTTGTTGTTCCCATGACACATTCAATAGAAATAGGAGCCAGTAGCCAGTAGAAGACCAACCAGACAGCGCACCCAGCCATCCAGCCAGCATCCATTCCAATCCAAATCCAGTCTGGACAAAATGTCAGTTTCGGTTTCCGTGGCCGGCGTCTCAAGCTGTCTGGTCTCGCTGTCTTGTCTATGAGGTGCCAGTTATGCCACCTTTGTTCATCGGGGAATTAGCCACAGCCCCTTTCCCGTCGCTCCACGATAATTTCGTTAGTGGAAAAATAATTTTTTATTAATCATGAAAATGTTTGCGGCACATGCCAGTCCATTTGAGTATCGCCTGACACTCTGGGTCACTGTCTGCGGCATACGCGGACTGCATCCAGTGCCCAGAACTGGGCCCTCACTCCCAGAGAGATGACTTCGTGTCGCACAGTTTCTGGAAGCCGACATGTCACTCTAATGAAATCTGACAGTTTTCGGTTTTGAAGGAGAGGGTTTCCATGATCGCTGTGCGGATTGATTTGGTGATCGGGCTTAACAGTGTGTTTCTTTAATTTCTAATTCTAATTTAATTTCTGCCCGGAAAGCGCCATTAGGTGCTGAGCGGGAGGTCAAGCCCTTGTACAGCGAGTCAAAGGAAAGAGCTTAACTTTGCATGTGGAAGCTTAACTTCACGTCATGCCATTTCTTGCAATTTGTTTCCATTCCCGTAGCTGATTCTTCAGCATCTCAGCACTTGTCCCGCCTCTTGACACAACACGCGACAAGGGCCAACGCCAGATAGAGATAAATCTCATCCATGGCCTAACTCTCGGCTTGACATTTCCCTAATTGGATTACCAACCAACGGAGGCAGGGGAAACGCTACATGTAAATTGTCCAAACACAAACAGCTGCCAGGTCTCTGTGGCATTAATGTCAGAGCTTTCCAAGTGCATTGTCCCCTATGGGAACAGTAGCTTCAGAAGAGGCTTGCAGAGGCATCCGCCTTATCTTAACTGTACCTGGTTCATGTTAGACTATGAATCGATTTAAGATAAAACCGAATTATAAACCCATTTCTAATCAGAAAACTTTCTCTCTTAGGAGGGCTTTGCGGATCCCCCTTCGACGTCGTCTATCAGCCGCTTGTTGCGCGGAAACGACCGCGGCAGCGAAGATGGTCGGAAGGACTACACCATACACGGAATACTTGGAGGTAAGCAACGCCCATTGGAAAGCGTCGGGGAGGAGACAGAGGACCGGTTACAGGGTACTGGGTACCGGGAACAAGGGAATCTATCTCGCTGTGAAATTCACCGATAATTTATTTGATCATTTCGGAAAATCATCATCAAATCATTTGTAGCTCAAATCAACAAACTGAGCTGGTGGCGGCGGCAATATGGCTTTGATCGTCTTAGAACCAGCGACTTAAACTTAGATAAAAGCCGCTCGGAATGGAAAACGAGGGGAGAAAGAAAAAGACTACAATGGATCTCTGGCCGATACGATAACGATCTCGATCGCTTGTTGGCTATACACTACGGCCGAAATAGGTGTAGATGATGACACCTGAGAATCAAAAGTACACCAGTCGAGTCTCGGGTCTAGAGGTTTGAGATTCTTTTGCCCAGTCTCAACCAGAGCTAATAACCCTGCTTTCCTCTGTCTTGCGTGAGACCTCGAACCTCGACAGCTCCTCTGTCCCATGATCGGAGCCAATAATCGGACTAAATATGCATAGTCATCCGATAAACGACCGGCGGGGTCAAAGCCAGAGAGTTCGGCATTTGGAAAATTGGTTAGGAAATTGTTTTGTATGATCCCTCGCACTGTACTTGGCTTTTTTCAATTAGGGTCGACAATCTACTTTGCTATGCCCTCTTTTTTGGCAATTGTCAGTTTTTGCCGACATCCTCTGATATTTTGCCGACCTCGGGCTGTCACAACACAGATCCCGCCTCACAATGGCCCGCAGGGGATTCCCATAGACGTCACCTTGACTTTGTCTCTTTGTGTGGGACTACAAGCCGACAATGACTCTGACTTGCATTCGATCAATGTATGCTGTACGAATACTTAGGTCTTTCGCCCTTGGAAGGAAGTCATGTGTCCTGTTGTTCCTTTCTATTTTTTATTCAAAATTCGTGTGCGAAAATTGTACTTTCAGGTGAAAATCCTAAAGAAGTTGAGTAAGAGCAGAATATTTGACCTGCCCAGGCTCCACGTTAAGCCGACGTGAAGCACCTGTACGCTTGGGCTACTTAACTCCGGGCTGAAATCGTACAAATATAAAATGTATATGCCCCAAGTAAGGGTACTCATTATGTTGTCGAAGCGTATAATAAGCACACGCCCTCCCATCATCATTGATTCCCGCGTGCTCGCAGACAGAAAGACCCTTCCTGCTCCATCATTATGGCCTTGTGGCTGGCCAGAAGTGGCGGCTAGGTCGCAATCACAACCCCAAACGGAAAGGTTGCGCAGAGACACATCCGAAACCCCAGCTGTGCTGGAATCTTTGGGATCTGAGATATAAGACCTGGGACTGAGGGACTGGGTCCCGGGATAACAAAGTCGGTGCCCGTTGCCTGTAATCAACGCCTTCTTTGCCGGCGACCAGGTGACTCCTGCCCCTTCTCACCTGTGGAGGCCGAAATTGAAATTATGCATTATTAAATATGTTCCTCCATCTTATATTTCGCGTATAATTTCGTTTGATTTAGATTTTGTACAATTTATACAACCGACCAACCTCCACGTCCACATCCACGTCCACGTTCAACTCGAAGACTCTTTCCCAGCTTCCCCAACTACAAAGCCCCCACTGTCGTCGGCTCACTTTGATCTCGCAAATACCGAAAAAACGCTGGAAATATATGAAATACCCAATAATAGCTGAATATACCCCGACAAAAAAGAAAGAGCAAATTGAGTGGGGGCTACCAATATAACGAAATAAGTTGGGTGACAATAATGATGTTATTAAGAGCATTGATAGCTTCCGACAGATGCCTGCCCCAGCGTCAGCCCCGATAGAGATCCCCACCTAAAAATACCAATTTAAACTGTATTATATCGGAATAATTAAAGGTGGTTTGTGGAAGAAGAAGGTGAGGGAACAAAGCCAGCTAATTATGATTCAGATCTGGCAATTTTCGATCGGCTTCCCTACGTACCTCTCTCTAGAGTGGGTCGAAGGCATCGTGTAAATTATTCGGAATCCGATGCGACGTCGTCCACACTTCTCCGAAACCTGCAGCTTGATAAGTACTGATACTGATAAATACTGGTCACCACGCCCCTTGAAGGCACAACAAACACACCGGTAAATGCAGGGAACGCCTCCACCGAGACGTCTGACAATAGCCAAGCTGTCTGACTCAGATCTCAGGACCGTGACTGATAAATACGCATGCGATTTGTTTTATTTAGTGCGATCTCAGGCAGGTCCATGTCCGGCCCACTCAGGGAGCGAAGAAAGTGACGCAACACAAAGAAATCAAATGCCAAAACACCGGCACGAAGAAGTCAACGAGGGACCCAGAGCCGATGAGAAAGAAAAACCGAGCAGAACACTTGAGGCAATTAGTGGCCGGAACAATGGCATCAAGAGAGCCGCTGTGGGAAAGGCCATGGCTATTTTCAAAATACTCTCCCCGATAAATACGGCCCAGGACTAGACAATGCGGCAGCAGTGCGAAGGGTCCTGGCTGATCCTGCAATCGTTGCGAGTGCAAAACAGGTTCGATTATTTACAGAAAATCCAGTACTGATACGATACGATATGAAGGGGATGTATAAAATGTTTTAGGGAAAGGTTGCAACATTTTATAAGGGGTTACATCGTTAAAATTGGCAAAAATTGTGATTTTTTTACATTTTAAAATGAGTATGCAGGTTTATTACCCTCCTAAAAACTATCACATGGCTGCTTGATTTGATCTGCTCTGATTTAAAATTAATGATTTTTTGGCTTAGTTATGACATTTTTAAATTTTGATTTGTCGAAAAATTTCATATAAAAATATTGTTAATTTCGGTTAAAAAATGGTAATGGACCTTCAGTCAGAAGGTTAAAAGAAAGTGAAGGAGTCATTTCCGACCCTATAAATCATATATATTCTTGATCAGCATCAACTGGCAAATCTTTTAGGCCATCTCCTGCCGAAAAAAATTTTTTTCAGGAATTTCCCATTTTTGTAAAAAAAGGAAGGGGTTACATCATGAAAATTTGCAAAAATCGGCCAAAAATTCACATTTTAAATGGAGTATGCAGTTATGTTAACCTGCTAAAAATTAACATACTGCCGCTTTCCGAATTGAAATTAATGCGTTTTTGGCTTAGTTATGACATTTTTAAATTTTGATTTGTCGAAAAATTGCATATAAAAATATTGTTAACTTCGGTTAAAAAATGGTAATGGACCTTCAGTCAGAAGCTTAAAAGAAAGTGAAGGAGTCATTTCCGACCCTATAAATCATATATATTCTTGATCAGCATCAACAGGCGAATCTTTTAAGCCATCTCCGGCCGAAAAAAATTTTTTTCAGGAATTTCATATTTTTGTAAAAAAAGGAAGGGGTTACATCATGAAAATTTGCAAAAATCGGCCAAAAATTCACATTTTAAATGGAGTATGCAGTTATGTTAACCTGCTAAAAATTAACATACTGCCGCTTTCCGAATTGAAATTAATGCGTTTTTGGCTTAGTTATGACATTTTTAAATTTTGATTTGTCGAAAAATTTCATATAAAAATATTGTTAATTTCGGTTAAAAATGGTAATGGACCTTCAGTCAGAAGCTTAAAAGAATGTGAAGGAGTCATTTCCGACCCTATAAATCATATATATTCTTGATCAGCATCAACATGCGAATCTTTTAAGCCATCTCCGGCCGAAAAATTTTTTTTTCATAAATTTCCCATTTTTGTAAAAAAAGGAAAGGGGTCATGAAAATTTGCAAAAATCGGCCAAAAATTCACATTTTAAATGGAGTATGCAGTTATGTTAACCTGCTAAAAATTAACATACTGCCGCTTTCCGAATTGAAATTAATGCGTTTTTGGCTTAGTTATGACATTTTTAAATTTTGATTTGTCGAAAAATTTCATATAAAAATATTGTTAATTTCGGTTAAAAATGGTAATGGACCTTTAGTCAGAAGCTTAAAAGAAAGTGAAGGAGTCATTTCCGACCCTATAAATCATATATATTCTTGATCAGCATCAACATGCGAATCTTTTAAGCCATCTCCGGCCGAAAAAATTTTTTTCATAAATTTCCCATTTTTGTAAAAAAAGGAAAGGGGTCATGAAAATTTGCAAAAATCGGCCAAAAATTCACATTTTAAATGGAGTATGTTAACCTGCTAAAAATTAACATACTGCCGCTTTCCGAATTGAAATTAATGCGTTTTTGGCTTAGTTATGACATTTTTAAATTTTGATTTGTCGAAAAATTTCATATAAAAATATTGTTAATTTCGGTTAAAAATGGTAATGGACCTTCAGTCAGAAGCTTAAAAGAAAGTGAAGGAGTCATTTCCGACCCTATAAATCATATATATTCTTGATCAGCATCAACATGCGAATCTTTTAAGCCATCTCCGGCCGAAAAAATTTTTTTTCATAAATTTCCCATTTTTGTAAAAAAAGGAAAGGGGTCATGAAAATTTGCAAAAATCGGCCAAAAATTCACATTTTAAATGGAGTATGCAGTTATGTTAACCTGCTAAAAATTAACATACTGCCGCTTTCCGAATTTAAATTAATGCGTTTTTGGCTTAGTTATGACATTTTTAAAATTTGATTTGTCGAAAAATTTCATATAAAACAAGAAAGGAAGCTAACTTCGGCACACCGAAGTTTATATACCCTTGCAGATAGAACTTCTATGAATTGGAATCCATACAATATAAATTATATATATTTGTGTTAAAAACAATGAAGTAATACTTGCTTTCATTTCATTCACCTATACATATTATATTTGCAGTTTTACATTCACAGATTTGCATTTTTCCTCTACATCAAACGATCGTTTGTATGGCACCTATATGATATAGTCGTCCGATTTTCATGAAATTTGACACAAAATTTAAGACTAATACAAAATGGCTATACCTCAAATTTGATGAAAATCAGCTGAAAACTGAAAAAGTTATAAATTTAATTGTATTAATTTCTCGATCGTTCCTATGGGAGCTATATG